AGAAGACGACTGGTTCAAAAGTTTTACGGTGTTTGCTACATAAGATGAACCAGGTAGCCCCGAACATGCGTTCCAGCTCTTGGGGGCCCCTCTTCACTGGCACCGCCCCGCCAAGCCTGACTCGCGATGAAGAGCGGGCACGACATCTCATCACAGACGGCAGCATGGGCGCAACCAGGGCCAAACGCATCCTGGAGAACCTTCATCCAGATTCGCCTTTGTTCTGCCGAATCACCTTCATTGAGGCATTAGCCGCCCTTTGTGCAACGTACCCACATGAGGTGAGCCGTAAAGTGACAGGCTCCAACAAAGAAATTAGGAAGGTTCTTTGGGCAGCCACAGCACCAGATAGATTGGAATGGCTGATGAACAACCTTCGTGTGCGCCACGGTCTAACCCCTCTAGAGCGGGGGTTGCTGCCAAGCGGCACGTCCTCTAATGAGTCCCTTCATGCCGAGATAAATTCGTGGACAAAGTCAATACGGTCCCTGCATCAAAGCACCTTGCGCATGAAGTTGGAAATTATGCAGTTCGGTAAGATGTTGACCCACCATGTGGCTTCATGTTTTCCAACAGTTCAACAAACTTCTGAATCGATATTGCTCGCGCGAGCAGTGGGCGAAGAAGTTTGGACAGAGGCCGATTGGAGGAAGTGCTGTTCGTCAGCTAAGGCAGTGCTACCACTACATAAGTCCAGGCAAGAAGAAGCCAAAAAAGTCAAAGACTGGAAGAACGGCACGGCAACTAAAGTGCGGAAAAAGGCTTTGAAACCTTTGAAACGCACCGTGCATTCCATCAAGCGTATGCACTCCCTCCGCTCAGCGGGTGTGAAAGCCAAAGGGCTTCGACACTAATCCGTATTGCAGACAATATAGAAAATGACGCGGTTGAGTAGTGAGCGCTCGTTGTTCTTGCATTGTGAGTGATAACTTCGTATGCTTGTTGATTTTGGGCGGATGTGGGAGATAGTTATGCAGCTTGCATGGATTGTGGTCATAAATCCTAAACATTCACAAGTATACGCCACGCGTGCAGGTCAGAGCCTCTGAAATGGATTCGCCGATGGCAAGTTGGGCGTGGCTTGGCTTTTCTGGCAAAAAGAAATCCAGGCAGATGACGTTTAAATATATATAATATGGACATGTGATATAAGCTGGATGGATGAAGGGACGGATTCAAATTTCCGCGAAGAGTGACGTGTTGTGCGACAGTTTTTCAGCTCTTACCATTCGCAATGCAGCCAATGATGCCTCCATCAAGGCAACTTGAAAAAGAGGAATCTCGAAAGAAATTCCGGCACACAAGCCAGCACGTCCGTTTTCCCACCCGACCTTCCCATCCATGATTGCTGCCACCATGGAGCGCTGCAGTAGGTTGTGGGTAAACATGTTCCGTTGAAAAAGTCGATATTTTGTCTGCCCAACCTTTGGCAGAGCTTTTTCAGCAAGCGTGCAGCAGTTTTCCCGCCCAGCCTTCCCGTCCATAGTCGCCACCATGGACATGGAGGCTGAAACGCATCTATCCCATATCCACGGATGAAGAAACCAAAACGTCATGCTCACGCAGAGCGCTGCTGGAGGTTGTGTTTAAACATGTTCCGTCGAAAAAAGCTAGAAAGTGCCCAGCCTTTGGCGGAACTTTTTCAGCAAACTTGAAGCAGTTTTCCCGCCCAGCCTTCCCGCCCATTGAAGTCGCCACCGTGGAAATGGAGGCTGCAACAGATCCATCCCATACCCATGGATGAAGAAACCAAAACGTTATATCCACGCAGAGCGCTGCAGGAGGTTGTGGATGAACATGTTCAGTTTCAAAAGATTCTGCGTGCCCAGCCCTTCATCTGAGCTTTGCAGCAAGGGCGCAGCAACGAGCAAGCCAGTACATGTGTTTAACAGTCCCACCCTCCCATCCCAGTTACTGTCTCCGATCAACGTCCAGCGCTTCGGAAAGTCTCGCGCGGTTATACAAATGTTTGCTGTAGCGCTCATTAGATTGAAGAAGATGCCTTTCTAGGCCAACGAACGAAATAGACCCCCAAAAAAGGATTAAATGATTTAATCCTTGTAATCCTTTTTATCCTCCAGAGCCTTTGGGGGATTAAATGGATTAAAAGGATTAAATAATTTAATTCTTTTAATCCTTTTAATCCTCCAGAGTCTTTGGGGGATTAAAAGGATTAAACGGATTAAATGGTTTAATCCTTTTAATCCTTTTAATCCTCCAGAGTCTCCAGAACCCCAATGTGAGGACCACACATTTAGTCCTTTTAATCCTTTTAATCCTGCAGAGGCTTTGGAGGATTAAATCATTTAATCCTTTTAATCCTTTTAATCCTCCAGAGCCTTTGGGGGATTAACAGGATTAAAAGAATTTAGTCATTTAATCCTTTTAATCCTTTTAATCCGTTTAATCCTTTTTAATCCTCCAGAGCCCCCAGAACCCCAATGTGAGGACCACGCATTTAATCCTCTTAATCCTTTTAGTCCTCCAGAGGCTTTGGAGGATTAAAAGGATTAAAAGGATTAAATCATTTAATCCAATGCTTGGGCCTTAGACTCCAGATCTCTGGGGGGTTAGAAGGATTAAAAGGATTAAAAGGATTAAACGGATTAAAAGGATTAAAATGATTAAATGATTTAATTCTTTTAATCCTTTTAATCCTTTTAATCCTCCAGAGCCTCCAGAACCCCCATGTGAGGACCAACCATTTAATCTTTTCAATCCTTTTAATCCTCCAGAGCTGATAGTTTACTGTGTCCATATATATATATATATATATATATTTATCGCCGGTGCCCAAGCGCCCACAAAATTTGAAATCCTTGTGTAGTTCTGGAACGGGCTCAAGAGACGTCCGCAACCCGATCTTGCTTCTCGGCCAAGAGCTACCATGTTCTCATTGGGTGAGAAGGTGTCATACCAAACTTCTAATGGTGTGACGCAGCAATGCGTAATCTGGGCTATCCGGTTGGATCATATGGCCCAGATTGGCAACAGCACCATGTCTGCAAATATGCTCCGTGAGCATTCTTTGTCAACCCATGTGTTAAGATCTTATTCCATATATGTTGGATGCGCCGTCTTGGTGACTAAATCTCACTGGCTTCTTTTTGCTCAGAATTTGGAGCTCTGAACCTGTTGTGATTATGTATTCTGGTGTTTGCATGCCCGCTTCATTGTATCCGAGGCCAATATGACAGGCCCGATCCGCCGAATGTATGGGTGCCAATGAACCGGCTGTTCCGTGTTGCGCCTCATCCTTTGACAACGTCCAATGTGGCTTGGCGCCAATGTCGGCAGAAGAAAGTTGTTCGGCTACCAGTGGGTGCTGAAAATTTCCCCAAAACCAAAAAAGCTCTAAGCGGTCATTGAGGTTCAGATGTTTTCTGGTGGTGCGGAAGCTCCAACTGTTGCTCCGACTGTTGCGCCTCGGCGAAAAATATCTTGTCGAATTTCCATGTAGGGAAGTGATGTACCGGGTTCACCTGCGCAACATTCTCATGATGTTTTTGCAACTTCTGACAGCTTTGATTGTTTCAGCAGGCTCCCTATAGAGGGGTTGCTACTTTTGGGGCTGCGTATGAAAGGCACATCTTTGGAACCCTTTTATTTTTCAAGAGTTGGTGAGATTGTGGGGCTGCCGAATTCCAAGGGGGATCATGTGCATATCATGTGCATTTGTGTTGTGCCCATGTAATTAGCTACAAAGATTCAAATGGATACCGACAGACATCTTTTGCAACTTGTATGCACGGCTCATCCAAGCTCCAGCATTTGCTTTGTTTGCAAACGAGCAGATCTGACCTTTTCTCAGAACCTAGTACACGTGAAGGAACTAAGTGGCTACATACATCGTGCTTTAGTTTTTCCAGTCACCCGACGCCTTTCGTCTTTTCGTGGCTCAGGTTGGCAGCCCTCCTTCGGAAGCCACCGTCATGCTGCCAGCTCGACGTGAGCGATCCCCCCGCCGTGAAACGCGCTGCCGGGTGAAGGTGGTGACGAATGACATCGAGGCTGCGCTCAGCCGCGCGAAGCTATACGGCATCCTGTCCGCGTGTGTCTGGCTTGGGGGTTGGATTGGGTTGATGGTAGGTTGCATGGCCCAAACATGGTTTAAATCACGGTACTGTACCGGGTGTATTTTATTCATTATCTGTCCATATCTGTCCCTCTATGATACTAAACGGTGGACCCGCCAAATTGTCAACACCTGCAGTAGTTATTGTTGTTGTTCTTATTAGAGGAAGTATTTGGCGAGGAAAAGTTTATATTCAAAAAATGTACCAATTATGTGCAAGGCAGTGACGATGGTGAGCTGGGACCCCAGTTGCTAATAGCTAGTTTTAATTTTAGGGGAGCTGAATCACATTTTTGGGACGTGACTACTGGTCCCCTATTACTTTTCAAGTAGCAGGATTGAAAAAACGCAATGAAATACATCTACTTCCACAAAAAAGGGAACGAACCTTAAGTTTCTCATTAGGAGAACGTTTAGTCATAGGAAGGATTCTATTTAGATCATGGTGTAGACCCAACCTTCATCCCATAATCTAAGTATGCTTTTATCTCAGCATGTGGCCCTCATCTCAATTTTTAAAGCTAAGGGTACACACTTAGACCAGCATCCACAAGGTTATCTTTCCCTATGGGAGCCCCAAAAAGTGATGATTTACAATAATATATAGTAATGGGAAATAATGTATTGTTATATTTTTTTGGTGGTCATCAATGGTATGGAATTACTAAACTAGTCAGCCCTGTAGTCTCATCAGGCATCGCTTTATTTTTAAAAAACACACTACGATGAAGAAAGACATTGCCATGTAAACATACGTGTGCATGGGAGAAAGGGCGAGGGAGGTTGGAATAAGGAATTTCTTATTGTTATAAGGGGAAGTCTTTCTGAATCTTGCGCCCTAGCAAAAAATGAAAGCTTGATAGCTCATAAATGGTTGAAGCTGCAAACCACCTGCACTCATAAAGCAGCCCGAAACTAAGTCTTGAATTTCCAAGGGGGGTGTCACACACGGGAATCTCCTTCCAGACTTGCTGCGGATTGCCTCTTCAGGTGAGGTGCTGCACCACCATTCTGATGGCCAGATGTTGGTGATAAGGTTCAAAGGAACCAAAAGTGCACAGGCCGCTGAGAAAGCATGGCCGGAAGCAGTTTGGGATGACTGATAGCTAGTTTTTTTTGGCCATCCTGTTCATACAGTTTGCAACAGCTAACATGTCACCAAATTATTTTTGTACTTCCGATGACGGATCCCCGCTCTCGTGACAAATTTTAAACATCTCTAAAGGACAGGTTGGCGATGGGCTGTCTTGTTTTCCCTTCCCTGAAGACCGGTAGGCTGTGAGAAACAGCATGGCACTCCATGGCCGGTGCTTCAGTCTTGATGATCCCTGCTCTTGTGATGAAATATGAATACATATGTTGGCTTCGAACTTTGAAGCACAGGTTGGTGCTGGATCGTCTTGTTTTTCTTTTGCTTCTAAGACCGGTAGGCTGTGTGAAACAGCACTCCATGACCGGCACGTCCGAGCATTGCTGGTGGTTTCGTTTGGAAACAACTAAAGTGATGAAAGCCAACGTTTTGCAGGAAACGTTCAGCAGAGCCACAAAATGTCAGCCACGTTCGTGATTGCTTCAGACCTTGGGACAACAATCGCTCTTAGTTTTTGATTAGTATGACTGCTGTCACTGATAGAAGACTTGAATTATAAAGGTGAAGTAATTGGATTTTAGGAAACTTATTAGCCATAGGGTCACTACCCAGCTACCAAGTGAGACTGTCATCCATGAAGGCCTTCGATCCATGAGTTTGCATTGTTGTGCCACACTGCAGGAGGTTCGGGTAAAGTTACATCCCTTTATGAGATATAAGTTAGTTTCAACCCCATGTATGGAATGATAGCATCACCTATAACCATTTACGACCATTTACAACCATCGAAAACTGGTAAAGGGCTTTAACTGTCGGAATGAGGTGGTAAACGGTGTCCTTAGGGCCACAGTAAACGTTTTCAACTTGCAAGGAGTGTGTTTTGCGAAACCGAAGATACAAACATATTGAAGTTTCCTACAATGGAAGGACTCCCAAACCATCCAAGTTGGACCATGTTAGTATTGAAACACATGCTTGTTAGGATCGCCTGTAATAGAACCCCCCATAAGTTGATGAATCAAAAATCACGTTTGAATGAAGGCTTATTGATTGGACAATCTTGGACACCTTCCAAAATAGATAGACCATACCCTCATAAAAGGATTAGTTTGGGATAAAAAGGATTAGTTTGTGATACTAAGGAAGATTGAAGATACCCCTAAATCAGGGTGAAGGGCTGTTATTTCCAACTTAGTAGTAGTAGTAGTAGTAGTAGCAGTAGCAGTAGTAGTAGTAATAACTAGTAGGTAGAAACTAGTAGGTAGAAACTAGTAGGTGGAAACTAGTAGGTAGTAGGTAGTAGGTAGTAGGTAGTAGGTAGTAGGGAGTAGGAGTAGTAGTAGTAGTAGTAGTAGTAGTGGTAGTAGTAGTAGTGGTAGTAGTAGTAGTGGTAGTGGTAGTGGTAGTGGTGGTAGTAGTAGTAGTAGTAACTAGTAGGTAGAAACTAGTAGGTAGAAACTAGTAGGTAGTAACTAGTAGGTAGTAGGTAGTAGGTAGTAGGTAGTAGGTAGTAGGTAGTAGGTAGTAGGAGTAGGAGTAGGAGTAGGAGTAGGAGTAGTAGTAGTAGTAGTAGTAGTAGTGTTCTACGCCAACGAACGAAATAGACCCCAAAGGTCCCTGCCACATATATATATACATATGAACATTGAACACTAGTGGATGTGATTGTTTATCCATGATTGAATATGGGAAATTTACTGGGAGATTCACTTTGTAGTGGGATTTTGTTTTATGTAGATTTCTAGCTATGGATATAAACTTTAGCCCCAAAAGTTGTGATGATGATAAACGTTGGCACTTATAACCTGACCTGCACTTCCAAAGGGATTGGTTTTGCCCAGAAAAACACACCGTTTAAAACTTACCCCAAAATTGAATATGGATGTTTTATTGGGATATCATTGGCATCTACAAACTGGGATTTTTTGGGGGGACATAGATAGGGGATGCCCAATCAAATGCCGCGCTTAGAAGAACTGCCCAGTTCATGCCAGTTCGCTTGGCCGAGTTGATGGTCGTCAAAGAGTCATGAAACTTACCATAGGAAAACCATAGGAAAACCATAGGAAAATGGTGATTAGTAATGGTTAATAGTGGTTAATGGTGGTTAATGATGGTTAATCATTGATTAATTTGATGGCTGGTTGGTGGTTTCAACCAACCCCTCTGAAAAATGATGGAGTTAAAGTCCAGTTGGGAAGGATTATTCCCCATATATGAAATGGAAAAATAAAATTCATGTTCCAAACCACCAGCCAGGTATAGAATATGAGTTTGCCTGAAACGGTATACCTATGTTTGAAACAGACCCAGCTCAAAACATCTTCCATTCGTAAAGACATCGGGCATCAAGCCTTCAACGTACATGCACCGGCCGGGGAACGGGGGTTTCACAATGGAGAATGGACGTGTCGCGACGTGTCTTAAAATGGGCTATCAATTAATTGACCCAGAAGATTAACAATCATGTTTTGGAGGCTGATGATAATATTTAGTAATTTCCACACCATCCATTTTTGGGGCTTATAATTTGAGCCACAACCAAAAAGGCAACCCCTTTCAGGCCCAACAACCCAACAACCCAACGCAAGCATTTCACCAAGCGAATGCGCGCAACATTAGTGTCGCCTCGCAAATGGGATTGGTTTACATCGCAATGCCTGGAGAGCTCGCTAGCCATCGGCATCCGCCGAAGAGAGTTCACAATAATTCATCCAGTTGAGAAGTTGAGGCAGAACCGTATTTTTTATGGCAAAAAAAAAGTTTTCGACCATGGCTAAACATTAGACAAACACGAAGCCTTAAATATGGCAAGTTTGAGCATTGATTGATCCATTCATTACAGTACTTCAACTAAATAGTGTTGAGCCAGGGTGGGAAAATCATAGGTGATAAACCCCTCACAAAAATCACCAAGTTTTGTACCCCAGGTTCAGTTCTGGGAAATCATAACACAGCTCCATTCACTGGCAAAAAAAAAAGGTATTAAACTACTACCAGTGAGATTAGCCAAAGATTCCCCATCATTGGTACCATCAATATCCCAATCGTTCAATCTTTTACTTTTGGTGGTGACCTATCCATCTTGATTAGAAAATACCCCTATCCAAAATTATCCAAATATTCTAAAGGCAACATTCCCATATTCAGAAAATCTTCGCATACCATGTTTTCATCGTACTCCAGACCTGGGTTTTGGTATGTTACTTTGATAGGCATTTCAGCTCAATCTGGAGGGAACAGTTGGCCCACGGCGAATCCATTGAATGCCCCTCCACAGCTTTCTATCCCCTATGTCGTTCCAAAGGAGCTGTGGACGTTGAATGAATTGAAGGCTGCTTTGATAAGGAAGTTTCCTCATTTGTCTACAGAAGAAGGACAGGGTTGTCAAAGGTAACGTTTTTAAAGGTTGTCTAAGTAAAAATTAGCAAGTTTCTTCCCCGGGACCTCACCCAAGGTGAACTTGGAAAAATAGAACCCACTGGTGTGCCCCTGGAAGTTTGGGCCGGCTTTGGGATTGGAATTTTGGTTCTGGCCGCGAAATTTCCCTATGTGGTCTCTATACCAGCCACGCATACTCGGAATTCTTCGCATTCCACAAATTCTTCGCACTCCACCTGGGACATCGCACTCCACAGCTAGGGACGCGCACATACTATAAAATCCACGCACTCTGCAAGATCTTCGCACTCCATAAAATCTTCGTACTCGGTAATTTTTCGTTTTTTTCGTTTTTTTCCTCTTTTTTTTTCGTTTTTTTTTTTTATTTTTATTTTTGGCTAAAATCGCCTGGAATCACGTTTTCTGGAATATGGGAAAGGTAGCGGTTTTTCGTGAGACGTCTGTAGTTGCACATACTATCGCATTCCAGGCAATTTTGGCAAAAAAAAAAAAAAGAAAAAAGAAAAAAAAAGCTCAGCAGGGTGAAATGTGATAATTTTCTGGTATATGATGGAAAAAACTGGTGTTGGATTCATGGGGAAGGTCGAAGGGGGCCACGCATACTGTTTTATTTTCGCATTCCAGAAAATTAGCGCACTCCAGGGGTGGCATCGTACTCTATCGGTGGAATTATTTGGCACGGAAGAAAACAGGATCGTCGATGATTTGTGTTCCCAGATCCTGTTGTGCAGAGCTCTTTGCGGGGCCACAAAGATGTCAAGAAAGATGGGGATGGCGCTGCTGATGAAAGGCCAGCCAAGCGTGCCAGAACATAAGCTTAAAGCTTATGAATTGGGTTTTGGGATCGGGAAAAGTGTAGATGACAAATTTCCATAAGAACATTATTAATCCATTTTTGGAAAGCTCAACATTTTTAATTATGACATTGCCAGAAATTGTTGAAAGTAAGGATCTTCTTTGGGGAAGAACATGTGCAGTCGACAACGTACGTGCCAGAAGAAAAGGAATACTTGGCAAACTGTATGAAATACAAATTTCACCTGAAAGGGGTCTTCGCAATTCCCTGAAATTTCCCAGCTATTTTGGCATGGAATATGTTCGGCCCTGGAATATGGGCAAGAAATTGCTAGAAATATGTCAGGTCTATCTCCAGTCTTAAGTTGGTAAATCTCGATATTACCCTCTGGTAAACTAACATAACTATGGAAAATCACCACTTTCAATGGGAAAACTCACTTTAAATGGCCATTTTCAATAGCTATTTTGACATAACCAGAGGGTACATCATATTACCACGTGTGATTCTTAAATCCCAATGTTTGATGGTAAAACCCCAAACGGTTTACCCATTGTTTTCCCGAGACATTCCCTATCCTCAATGTTTGATGCTTGCAACCCAAGATTTGAGTATATTACTCTAATTGGTGGTTTCAGCCCCTCTGAAAAATATGAAAGTCAGTTGGGGTTACTATTCCCAATATATGGAAAAATAAAAAATGTTCCAAACCACCAACCAGATTAATATATATATATATATTATATCAATCCACCCAATATCGACTTACCCAGCTGTTTTCAACACGGCCAGTCTTTGATACCTTTCAAAAAAAA